GTGGGCGACATATTTTAATCATATTTAACTATTAGATATCAGTTAATCACAGCCGTGAGAGGCTGACGTGCTTGTCAGGCTGACATTTATGCTGTCATGCTGAGTCATGCTGACATTCATCTTGTGTTCAAAATAGCTCAAACTCTTCTGACCCTTCTGCAAACCGACACCTCGCTTTAGAGACGCAGAACAAGTTAAGTTTTCTTTGTTGGACAGTTGTCAAATGGATAGTCTCTGATATTCAATACTTGCGTCATAACACATGATCATGTTCCTCGTCTGCACGGTAGCCTACATTGTTCGTTCTGTTCTCTCTCTCCAGATTTTTCATGGTGCAATTAGGGTGTGTTTGTGTGATACTGAACCTGAATAAATAGACGTGTATTTAATAATCCAGCAATTAGGATATTTAATATCAGATCCAATTGAACGTAAAAGGTTTTGGACACTGAAGTCACACGTAAACATGTCATTAACAAACCAGAAACACAAGCACCTTTTTCAAGAAAAAAAAAAAAGGTGTCTAAAATAGGTTTAAGCTTCTTAACATTTATTTCAGTCAAGGTTTTTTAATGTTTTTAGCTTTAGTTAACTATAATAACACATAGTTAACTAAAAATAAGAAAAAACCTTAACTGAAATAAATATTTAAAAGCTTAAACTTGTTTTTTTTTTATTTCAGCTAATTGCAAAAGCAACATTTCTCATATTTTTAGTTTAACTTGATGCAATAAAAAAGTGATAGTAAAAAAGTTTAATAAAAACTATATAGACATATTTTAAAATAAAAATACTAAAAATGACAAAAACACAACAAAATTAATAAAAGTTTACATTAAATTAAAACAAAATATGAATAAAAACTAAAGTAGCAACTTTATATATTTTTTATTAAACTCCTTAAGTGCCACCCCCATTTTTGAACATAGACCTGAAAGTGCACTATCCAAACTTAAATTATAATATTCATGAAAACTTTGGAATACAGACCTAAGGTTGGACTCCTTTTTAAGAAGACGATCTGCAGATTACTGCAGAAGTGGAATCATTTCAAAATATTAAAGTGTCAAAAAGTTATAGAAGTTTAAATTTACTGTAAAGAAAATGCAATTTACCAATTTTTTTATTTTATATAAAGTAAATATTTTACAAAATATTTTTGAATCCAAAATTGATATAAAATTAAAGCCTTATGTCTAAATAAGTTATGTTCCAAATTTGAAGTTGATATATATAAAAAAAAATGGAGGTTCCTGTGAGATTTTATTTAGGGCGTTATACCGCAAATAGCCACCGGGTGCCATCCAAACTCTGTAGAATTTTTGTTGATGCATTTTTCTGTCACGAAGGTCTAAATTTCTCTGTCAATATTACTTCTATCAAAAAATAACCACCAAATATGGAATCTTGAGACTCCAAGTATATGTATTTATATATGTATACAAGAAATATATGTATTTTGTCAAGATTATTAAAACCTTTGATTCCAAAAGACCATAATACATTTTGTAATATGACACTTGACTCCACCCACTAAGGGGAGGAGACCGCTAAAAGATTTTAAAATTTCCATGTCCAATTTAAAAATGGTTTTCACTGGATGAATTCTGAGGTTTTAAGCTTTTAAATGATATATAATTTATGATGATTACTAAAATATGGGATAGAGAAAAAAAGACAACAACAAAAAAGAGCGCCATTGGGCCCACCTGTGGGCCAGTGGCACTTAAGGGGTTAAAAAAGAAAAAGAATAAAGCATGTAATGTGCTTGAAGTTTTGCAGACTTGGTCTAAAGATTAGAGAGTGAACGGTTCCACTAAGTGGGCCTCAAGTATCACTTTTAGTGTCTAAGCAATTTTTTAAAAACTGTAAACTTTGTGAAACGTGTTCTTATGTTAATATTATGAACTTATGCATTAGCCAAAAATGACCTCAAGCTGGTTAAGTGGAAAGCGACTTAGTTTGATATTTTGCATCTAATGCGATGAAGTAAAGTGTCTACTTACATTTGTGAGCCACTATGTATGTCAGTAATACTTTTGTGGGTATCTGCATATTTGAAGGAATATGCATTTTGCAGAACTGAACAAAGATTGACAGTCTTATCATAGAAATGTATCATAGTATCGTTTAGTTGAATAGCGTCACTCTGTCAAATACTCTAGATACAACAGCTCTGTAACAACACAACATACGCCTGTTCGGTTATTAATTACTGCCGAAACTGTGTGGCAGTCCGGCTAAAATTACATAACAGGAATCCAACCACAGGTGTGCAATACCAATCCACCCACTATACATGCAACACACAGTCTGGACTTTCCCTATTCATCACCAGTACAACACATTTTAATGAAATTTTTTTTTTAAATTAATTTATGCTATGACTTGTCTTTCTGACACTATATTTAAGGGTGTATAATCATAAAAAGTCTTTTTTTATCACACGGTTACAGTCTTTTACAGTTCATATTTATCAGCATTTTCACTACCAGTCAGAAGTTTGGAATAATTAATAATTTTTTTTTTTAAGTTGTTGAAAGAAGTCTCTTCTGCTCACCAAGGCTACATTTATTTTACTGTAAAAACAGTAATTGTGAAATACTGAAATACAGAATTTCTATGAAATAAAAATATTTTGTAACATGAATGTCCTTACTCTCAATTCTTGCTGCATAAAAGTGTTTAAAAAATCAGAAATATATTTATGTAATTATATTTACCATCAGTTATGTTACCAATATAATTGTCTATTTTTGTATATTTTACAGTATATTTCAAATATATTCAGTATCTGAAAATATGTATTTTTGCCATATGGGTTCTAATATAAGTCAATATAATATGAGTAATTTGTGAGTTAATCATTCCATTCCGTTTAGAAGGCAACTGCTTATGTAAAATTAAATAAATTGTGTGCTCCTATGATTACAGTAGCATCAACATGTTAAACAACATGTTAAAATAATAAACTACAGCAATAAGCTTTGCAAGATGTAAAACTTGTTTTTACTCGTGTTTATTGTCTTTTAGGCTGCACATGATTTGTGTGGACGAGCGCCGCTAGTGTCATCCTATGCATTACTGTTATACTTGATGGTTAATTTGCTGGTAAAAGAGGATCAGGGGCACTACTGATCACATAAAGTAGCTGAAATGATCAGATCTCGGACGTCTACATCTCTTGTATTTCACTCTTGAGATGTATTTGCATTATATACCTGAAAAATGTTTTTAAAATAGCCACAATTGTGCTGTTCTCTGCTTCTACCTGTACAACAGCATACCTCAGACTACAAATAAAACAGTATTCATAAAAGAGTTGCTTGTCTAAGCCTGTCTTCTCTATAAACTACAAAGACATCAATAAATCAATTTTTGCATGAGTGAATGGTAGAAATCCTTTCTGGAATGAATATCTGTTTCCAGTGAACACCACAACCAAATCTGGTCAGTAAATCAGGGGGGGAACATGCCCCAATCTTTTGAATGGTAGTATATCAATAAACTGTTATTTGAAAAAAAATAAATGAATGTAAAAAAAATCTGTGATGTCTATACTCATTTATATATTTTTAAATAAAAAAAATCAAAAGTTTGCATTGAAATTTGCTAGTTAAAGCCATTATTCTTCATTTTTGCATTGATAATTCAACCCATAACATTTAACCCTGAAACATTTTGAATATCATTGCACAAAACATGTTAAACTTGACAAATTGCATGTTTTTTGTGTAATAAGAGCACACCAAACTTGACTGATAATAATAATAATACACTGATATTACACTGACAGCTCTACTTTTGACATCAGTAAAAAATGAATACATAAATAAAGATCTTTGAGTTCTTAAAGGGATAGTTCACCCAAAAATGAAAATTCTGTCATTAGTTACTCCCCCTCGTGTCGTTCCAAACCCGTAAGACCTTCGTTCATCTTCGGAACACAAATTAAAATATTTTTGATGAATCCCGAGAGCTCTCTGACCCTCCCATAGACAGCAATAACACGATCAACGTCCAGAAACATAGCAAGGACATCGTTAAAATAATCCATGTGACATCAGTGGTTCAACCGCAATTATTTGCAGCTACGAGAATGCTTTTTGTACGCAAAGAAAACAAAATTACGACTTTATTCAACAATTTGTCTCCTCTGCGTCACACTGGCGCCATTTTGGAGAGTGTCCACTGAACGCAAACAGCATATGTTATTCTGTGTCAGCTGTTTTCGTTCAGATCAAAGTGTAAACAACATAAACAACGTATCTGCGTGACGCAGCTGACACTGAACAGCATACGTTGTTTACGTTCAGTGGATAGGTGACGCGGAGGAGATGAATTGTTGAATAAAGTTGTTATTTTTGTTTTCTTTTTTGATTATTTTAACAATGTCCTTGCTACGTTTTCTGGAACTTGATCATAGTAGTATACTTGCTGTCTATGGGAGGGTCAGAGAGCTCTCGGAATTCATCAAAAATATCTTAATTTGTGTTCCGTCTTACATGTTTGGAACGACATGAGGGTGAATAATTAATGACAGAATTTTCATTTTGGGGTGAACTATCCCTTTAAGTTCAGTGGTAACCTTTTGAAATTAAAATGTAAAACAAGATACTAATAAATAATAATATTAATAATAATAATAATAATAAACAAATGTTTAATTTATTTGCAGAGCCACTAAGTCTGGGTCATCCACCGGGAAGCTGGTACGCAACAAAGATCTAATAATTACATGGTCACAGTTTAAAAATAGTTGAAATGGCGAGAGGAAAAAGTAACGAAGCAAAACCTGACTCACCTCCACCTGAGCGTCTCTGTAATGTTACATCACATCAGACGCTCCGGATAAGGAGCTGTTTCAAAAAGTATGATGCAATACATATAATTTGTCTTTGGAATTCGAGTCATGTGGTGGTTCTTCAACAGGTTTAGTGAGTTTGATGCGGTGAGGTCATCACATCAAATTCAGTATAAAAATCCCCATGCTCGTCCGATCAGCACACAGCGGATGGTGGAAACAAACACCAGCCCATAGCAAGACTGAAGACTATACCTACATCTACAACAGTCGAAGCATCTCTGGTAAAATCACTTTTGAACTCTTTGTATAAAATGCTTTACCAATATTGCTCATTTATCTGCTAGACTAAAATGCTACTTCATTTTATAACTGTATCAAAATATGCAAGAATAATGAGCCATTTGGTTGTAGAAGACCTAATGCATAGTGGTTACCAATTGCATTGCTAAAGGGTATAATGATTTAAAAAAAAGCATGTTTGTAATTTTAATAATCTACTTGGTCTCGACCACCCAAACTTTAGCCTTGGAAAACTGTCAGAAAAATTGCTTGGCACTGGGCTAATACCCTTAAAAAGGCATCGTTGTATGTTATCTGCTCATTAAATGTTCATATTAGTACCTTAAAGTGGTAATATGTATCCTTAAAATACCACTATGAACCTTTTAGGGGGGAATAAGGTACAAAGATATCCCTATTGACCCAGTGACAAGCACTTTTTCTGACAGTTTTCCAAGGCTAGAGTCTGGGTGGTCAAGACCAAGCATTAACCCAATGACAAGCTAAAGGCACATTTTTGCACATTTTTCCTGAGAACAAATCCAGAAGATTGCTGGCTGCATTAGTGATTATGTTCCTTCATTGCAAGCACTGTATGAAGAGAATGGACTGTTTTCTGAGGTAAACCGCAGATTAGGATTGTTTAATTTGGATTTTTCCATTGCTCTGTTTAATCTCCAGAGAGAGATGAAGGTGAAGATGTTGGCCGTGTTGGCTCTGGTTCTTCTGCTCTCCAGTGCGAGTGAGGGACGGATTCTCAGTAAATGTGAGCTGAAATCCCAACTCGAGGCGGCACTGGGGAGAAATCAGGGAGGAAATGGACCTGCAACTGTCACGAATGGGCCTGGAAGTGTGACTGGGCCTGGAAACGTGACTGTGCCTGGAAATGTAACTGTGGCTGGAAACGTAACTGTGCCTGGAAACGTAACTGTGCCTGAAAATACAACTGCAAATTCGCTCATCGCCCAAAGTAAGTGTTGCAAGGGTAAACGCTGTCAGTTGACAACTGGTAATGATACAAATGTAAGCCAAGAGTGTTTCTGTCTTTCTTTCAGTCGTTTGTTCTGTGGAGCGTGTGTCGAAGTTCGACACCAGCCTGGTCACCACCATCCAAGAAGACCCCAGACCTCCAGTGAGACCCCCTCTCAGACCACAACAACGACCCAATGAAAGACCAGGGGGAAGACCTGGTCGTCCAGGAGGAAGACCTGGTCGTCCCGGCGGAAGGGGAAAGAGATCCCATGTTGCGGCACTCAGGCGGCCAGCTGGATTTTCTGACGACAGTTCCGAGAGTTCCGAGAGTTCCGAGAGTTCCGAGGAGAATGTCACTGCAAGGCCTGGTCTCACCACAAAACTGTTTGGAATCTTCCAGCTGAGCGACCGTGTGGCCTGCGATTCCGGATCCAGCCAGAGTCTGAACATCTGCCGCATGAACTGCAGAGGTAAGTCACGTTACAAAAGTGATTAGAAACTGAATAGACTGAACCCAATCTCATGAGAAATGTAACTAATTTATAGGGCGGTGATTTCGAATAAATTCACACAATGAAACAACATACAGAACTACCAAACTTTGCTATAAGTTTGATCGCAAAACATATAATCATTGCTGTTAATAGTGTTCACCGTCTGTTTGATTACATGACATTAACTGCTTGATTTTTACCGTACATTCCTGCCATATGTACTGTACATCAACTTGAGATAGTCACCACTGATAAGCTATTACTAAATATCCATATGTACATTAACTGACAGTCACCACTGATAAGCTACTACTAAATATTGTAGAAACTTAATTTGCTGTAATTAAGTTGAATTAAATTAAATTAAGTTGCTTTGCAACGATTTGTATCATGAAAAGCGCTATACAAATAAACTTGAATTGAAAATTGAATTGAACAATGACTACTCAGACTACAGTTACTTTTTTATTGATTACATATCATTCACATAGTCACATGCTGTAAACAGGTCTAATATTTCAGATTTTTATGTTTTATTGACTGTTGTAATTTTAAAAATATTTATTTTAATTTAACATTATTATGATTTAATTATAATTATTACACTCTAAAAAATGCTGGGTTGTTTCAACCTTGACCCAAAATTGGGTTGAAACAACCCAGCATTTTTTAGAGTGTAGCTTTTCATTAAACTCACAAACCCCCTGCAGTTCCTATTTAAATCAATGTGATAAACAAGTTAATTCAAAAGTAATCTAAAAGTAATCAGATTACATTACCTAAAAACTAAATTTTTTTTGTCATGCAATTTGGAATCAGTAACGGACTACAATTTGTAAGTAATCTACCCAGCACTGGTTACATATTGCTGTGAGCTTGTATTGATAGATTCCAATAATGCAATTCAACACAATTTTTCAAAATTTCAGTACGTCAAATTTGAGTGACGTCTCATGTGACTGGTTACGAAAGTAACTAAAAACTGAGAAAGTGTAATTATTTTACAAATTGGAAATTTCGTATGAATTCGTACAGTGTGATTGCCACAAAAATGATTTCTATAGGAAAAAAGTAAGCATGAAGCTCCACCATAAACTTAACCATCAGTGGGGCGTATATAGGCAGATCGTACAAAGACATGATTGGCACTGTACAAATAAGCCACCAATTCACGAAAAACATTTTTTTAAAAGAACATCCCATTTACACAATAGCACATCATATAGTTTCATCACAATTTCACAATCATAGTACACGTCAAATTCGAGTGACATCTATTTTTTTTTTATTCTAAAGCTCTGGCTGATGATGACATCAGGGATGACATCACGTGCCTGAAGATCCTGCTGAACAGCACAAGAAATGCGTAAGTTGTCATCTTTAGTCCCGCTATAATCACATGATCACCATCTACATTCCCATTGGTAGACACCACATTCTGTCACTGCTCATTTGCATGACTCCGTTGAGGTCAGATAACATTTGTAGCATTGCCAAAGACCACTGTCATTTAGAATCTGCTAAATGAACACATTGTAATTGTAAATGGCCAAGATTCTTCATTGTAAAACATTCAAATATTACTAAAAGCAACTAAACAAGTGTATTTTCTCATAAATAGTAATATTCCTGTTCCTGTTTTCTTACAGCGCTGTTTCAGCCTTCGCTTCTCCACCCAATAAAACGTAAGTCAAACAAATATATTTTTATTTTATTCAATACTTGAAAGTGTATAAGGCTTAAGGAAATACATTTTTCAAAATGTATAAAATATATTTCGGACAATATACATAAAAAATTGCCAAAAATATATGATGAAATAGAAGTAACTAAAACTTATTGGAAATATATTTCTGTACATATATTTACATGAATATTAGCAATATATTTTTAACCACAGCAATAAGCTTTGCAAGATGTAACCCTTCTTTTACAAGATTGTGTTTCTTGTCTTTTAGGCCACTTGTAATTCTCTCTGTGAACAAGTGCCGCAACGTCAATCCTGCGCAGTACTTTGCTGAGTGTCCGTGAAACATTCAGCGTTTCTTCAGGCATGAATATTCTGTCAAATTTCATCCCAACTCATTATTGTAATAAACCCAACAGGAACTCAGTTCTCAGACCCTTGTATTTCACTCTTCCATTTTCTGCCATAATGTACCTGTAAAATGTTCTCAGAATAGCCTCAATTATGCTGCATGTACTATAGCATATCTCAGAATGCAAATAAACAAATATTTTAAAAAAAATACACTTGTCTAAGTCTTTACAATAAAAACACCAACAAATCAGTGTTTGCATGAGTGAAATGTATAAGCATGTTCATATATGCCTTTACTGGTTTATGCTGGTCGTGCTGGCAAAGGACCAGCATCCCAGCGTCAAAACATACCTAACCAGCATATGCTGGTTTTTTCAACAGGGTTATCACAAAACAAGTGTTATACCATCCAAGAAGTCTGGTTTGCATGGTCTATTTAACCTCTGCTGGTAGGTATCGTAACTACACCATCTGTCTGCAAAGAGCATCTTTCTCCACCGATGGCCATTCAAAATAGCCATGCATTCTCATAAAATGATTTTTACAACATCTAAATCACAAATACGTTTTTAAATGATTCATTCATTTTTTAGAGAGCTCAAACCGTTTATTTTTGTGATGCCGCTGTTTTATGTCTCTCTTCATTTGTGCACCTGCCCTACGTCCCAATGAATCACAATAAAAGATCAACTCTGTTTAACCAAATCCATTGTGCAAAGCCTGTTCCTTCTTTTACCATGGACATATTATAATACATAAGTATGCTCTATGCATCATTAAACATGCATTATTATATTAAAATGTAGAATATATAAATGTATTATTTATTTAATATACATGAATTAAAAAATATAAATTAAATAAATTATGGGTATATATAATAAAAAGGATGGTGAGCGCATATCCACAAGCATACGATGAATAATCCTTGAAATTGTGCTTAAAAATAATTGTTTGTCCTTTTATCCAATTTCTTATTTGTCCTGTGCCATGTGAAGTTCACATTTACATGTTGAAACAACAACACACAAAGGTCAAGCATTTTCGAGCAAACCAAGAATTTGTGTGCTATTTGAATACACTCAAATGAGCCCTCGCAGTGAAGCTCAGAGATTTGGACCGAGATACTGACCGAAATGGAGAAAATTTCCAGCAAACATTTGTCAGATTGACCATGTAATGCATCTAAAGTAAACATTAAAGCTCAATCACATATGACAATAAGCTTATCTGTCTTAATCAGAAAAGCTGCATAAAAAAGACGTTTCCTGAGAACAAAACTCATCTGGTGTGACAATGCAGAAGATCATATTTGATTTGAATAGTTTTCATTGCATAATTCACAATTGCTAAATGATCCTTTAAGCATTGTCAGCCCTTCAGATCCACCCAAACAAAACAGAGTAAAGACTTGAGGCTTTAGAGAGTCACAGCAGTACCATTATACAAGCAGTGGGCTCTAGATGAAGATGAGTGCGGCATTCAGCTATTTGAATTGGAAATGCTGCTGTTTGTGGGTGTGGGTGAGCGTGATGCAGAACATCATAATCTAAAGACAAACAGAGCACAAAGACTCAAGCATCAAAACATCAGCTTTACATCATTCCACTCACAGCTGGAAACCACTGGAGAAAAAGAGAGCAAATAAATACATAAATACATAATAACAAGGATGACAACCTGAGCTTCCTGGCCAGCATTTGTGATGTTTTCAGTCTGTTTCAGAGCAATGACATCATAGGAATATGATCTCCTCGTGATGATGGGATGGACCAACAGTGCAGGTGGAGGTCAGTCGGACATATATAAGATGGACCACAGCAAAAAAAACAAAAAAACACTGAAGCTGGAGAAGACTCTCCAACAAGCAGCATCTCAACAGAACTTCTGGTAAGATGCATTACAATTCGTTTCTTCATGATATTTCATGGTTTTATTTGTTGTTGTTGCTCAGACTAATCATTAAGTTCACTGCTGGTCATTGTAAAAAATAAAGGAATAAAAACCTTGGATGAAAGCAATTGCTGAATTGAATGTACTTTTTTTGTTTTTATGTAGTAATAATTATTTATCATTTGTTTTTGTGCAATATATATTATTAAGTTAGCATATATATATATATATATATACTGTATATATGTGGCTCAACCTATTTAATACTTAATTAATGAATATACAATCACTGAATACTTGTAATCTGTTATTGGCTCTACTTCAAGATGCAATCAGAGTTCCCTGGATTAACTGAACACATATAATCTCCAGATTTCCAAACAGAGAGAGATGAAGAGTGCAAACCCAGTGAAGATGTTGGCGGCGTTTGCTCTGGTTCTGCTGGTATTCAGTGTGACTGAGGGACGGATTATGAATAAATGTGAGCTGAAGGCCCAGCTGGACGCCGCTCAGTTCCAGCAGATCACCGTCATGGAAGAGACAATAACCGTGAACAGTCTCATCTCCAGACGTGAGATATTGTTCTGCAGCTTATCCCTTCAGGATGCCAAATTACACTGTTTTATGTCAGATTATGTGACCCTCATCTATGTCTTTCTTCTTTCCTGAGGCAGTTGTCTGCAAGGCCAGCATCTCAGCCTTCAACACCAGCTTTGTCAAAAACACCACGGTCCACAATAAGGAGATGAAGCCAGCACAGGCCCCACCTCAAGTTGCATCCCAAGTTCCACCTCAAGCTCCATCATCTGGAGCTCCACCTCAGGCTTCACCACGCAGAGGTCCACCTCAAGCTCCATCATCTGGAGCTCCACCTCAGGCTTCACCACACAGAGGTCCACCTCAAGCTCCATCATCTGGAGCTCCACCTCAGGCTTCACCACGCAGAGGTCCACCTCAGGCTCCACCATCTGGAGCTCCACCAAAGGTTCCACAATCTGGAGTTCCACCCAAAGTTCCACCATCTGGTTCTCCACCCAAGCTTCCACCATCTGGAGCGCCATCATCTCGACTTCCACCTCAGGCTCCAGCTGGAGCTCCACCTAAGCACTATGCACAGGCTCCCACTAAAGGACCCCGGGGCTCCGGCCACGAGACGCAGCAACCACGTCCGACCACAGCTGCCAAAGTTGTCGGGCACCTGTACGGTGTGTTTCAGCTCAGTGATCAGCTGGCCTGTGATTCCGGCATGATCCCATCGCTCAACGTCTGCAACATGACCTGCTCTGGTGAGTGTTTTTAATTACTGCACTGTAAAAAATCAAAGAGCAAGCAATAATGTGAATGTTTAAAAGCAAATAAAAGAACTTTGAATTCTTTTTCTTTTTTTTGCGAACCAGCTTTGACTGATGACGACATCACTGATGACATTGCCTGCCTGAAGGCCCTGACAAACTTTATGTAAGTACAACAAACTCATGCTTACTTTAGTTACCAGTGCTGTTTTAATATATTAAAATTCAAAGGAGATTATGCTTTTTTATGTTAGATTGCATGATAACACAAAAGTGTTAAAAATATAACTATTACATAACAAAGTAGTACAGATATCTCATTTCTTAACAGGAAAGCGAAACCCAAAGAGATCCTATTTGATGTTAAGAAGATGTAAGTTATTTTTATATATACACATTTACAGTTGTATAGTTTATGGTTTTACAAAATCATAAATGTTAAGTATTTAAATATATATTGAATGAAATCTATATCTATCTATCTATATCTATATCTATCTATCTATCTATCTATCTATCTATCTATCTATCTGTATGTGTGTGTATAGTTTTTGTTTCTCTACATGTGACACAGTAATTATAATGTGTCTTCTGTGCGTTACAGTGTGGAGATGATGTTGGTGAAGGAGTGTCACTCTGTCGTTCCTCCAAACTACTTTGCTGAATGTGTTTAAAACAGATGGAGCAGACTCACTCAAGATTAGATTCTTCCTGCTGCATTCCTTATGCACATCAGTCTGATGCTTTCCATGGCAACTGTCTTTGATTGAATGGTAATGAGGTCATTATGATGGTGGCGGGAGTTTAAACGAGAGTCTGAATATAGGGAGTTTGTGCATTTTAGTTTATTACTGTAATACTGTGAATGTCTAAACATATATCACTGTATAAACCTAAACATCAGTGTATAATCCAATATGATTGTGCTGCTGCTGAGTGCTTTTAAATACTGTCACTTTATCATAAAAAATAAAATTAACAAACCACTCTAAGTTTTCTTTCTTTTCTTTGAATCAAAAAGCAACAAGATGCCACATAGTTTTCATATACATGCATATATTCATGATGCATCATGCAGGAAAAGAGAATAAGCAAATAATATAAAAATTGTTTTAAAAAATTCTGGTGGTAAAGTTTTAGCTTAGCCATCACCAGCTGTTGTCTGAAATCTATTGCAATCTGTATTCTATGCATTTTAGATGCACACTTTCCCCTGCAATAAAAAAAAAAACAGTATTACGATTTAAAAAAAATATATATATAAGAAAATATGAGCAAATAAAAATGTTATTATTTTAGAATGCATGCAAACAGCCAAACTATTGATCAAATACTTTAAATAAATTATTATTTTTATTAAAACAGAATTAGCAATATATTTCAATTGTTCTATGATTTTTTATTTTTGATAAATATAAATATTTATCTTACTAGACGTTGCTTTGTTGTTGGAGACAGATGAATGAGAGTCGTCAAATATTCCTCAGTCTTCACTGTCTTCTGTATGTGATTCGTCAGACTTATATATGTTCGAATCTCCTCCACCTGCGGCTGCACCTGTGCTTTTGGATCATTCCATAATTAATACTGGGATTAATGTACATTTCTAAAATTGAGCTCTGGTTCCTCCCAAGGTTTCTTCTTAATCCACCCAAACCAACAGTCGTTTTTTTAACATTATATTCTGCAAAGCAGCTTTGGATCAGCATGTATTGTGAAAAGCATGCAAAAAACGCTTAACTTCAATTTTAATCTTTCCCAGTAAAACATCATCGTTCCTACAAAACCTTGCAAGTTGAATGAGACTTTGACACACTAATGTAAGCTGCAAATCATCTAGTGTGCTGAGACAATGCAAAAGATCAAGTCTGATTTAAATTGTCCTATTTGGATCATTCATAATTACCAAATGATCCTTAAATTATATAACTTGTCTAAAACCACTACGAGTTTCTAGAAAACCCTATTTAAATGTCAGCGCCTTGCCCAAAAAGCACTTTTGCACAAAAGCATTTAGTTTTTACAAGGAATTGTCATGTTCACCCCGCCAACAGATCCACCCAAACAAAAGACAGCGAGGATTTAAAGCTTTAAAGAGTGGTTTCTGACCTCTATTATCTGTCTGCTGCAGACATGCCACAGAAATTATTTTTAAAATACAAGCTAAAATGACCTGAATGTCACATCACAGCAAACATGGGCTGATTTTTTAACATTTAAGAATAAGAATTTGCCCAGTGTGGTTTGGGTGTATGAAGAAACCTTGGGAGGAACTAAAATTCAGCAGGGAGAGCCAATCCTCCTCTGACACGAATTAAGCAAAAAAATTAATCTCAGGATTAATTGTAGGATGGACCAAAATCACAGGTGCAGCTGGAGGTGGAGGCGACTCTAACATATATAATTCTGATGGGTCACAGTACAGAAGACACTGAAGACTGAGGAACATTTGAAGACTCTCATTCATCTCAATGAACATCTGGTAAGACTCAATTATGCTGGTTAATAATATGGTTCTTCCAGTTGTCTGAACGCAAGTTTTGTGTTCAGTATTGTAGAATATGCCTTGCTGGTCATTCTGAACAAGCAACAAATCTATACTTGCGTTCAAACGTTTGGTGTCTGTAAGAATTTTAAACTTTTTTTGAAAGAAGTCATTTGTGACCCTGGACCACAAAACCAGTCATAAGGGTCAATTTTTCGAAATTGAGACTTATACATCATCTGAAAGCTGAATAAATAAGCTTTCCATTGATGTATGGTTTGTTAGGATAGGACAATATTTGGCCGAGATACAACTATTTGAAAATCTGGAATCTGAGGGTGCAAAAAAATCTAAATATTGAGAAAATCACCTTTAAAGTTGTTCAAATGAAGTTCTTAGCAATGCATATTACTAATCAAAAATTAAGTTTTAATATATTTACGGTAGGAAATTTACAAAATATCTTCATGGAACATGATCTTTACTTAATATCCTAATGATTTTTGGCATAAAAGAAAAATCTATAATTTTGACCCATACAATGTATTTTTGGCTGGGTCAAATTTATGTGGTCCAGGGTCACATTTTTGTTCACCAAGGCTACATTTATTTGATTAGAAATACAGTAAAAACTGTAATATTTAGAAATATTATAACAATTTAAAATAACTTTCTAATGTTAAAAAAATTAAAATGTAATTTATTGCTGTGATCAAAGCTGAATTTTCAGCATCGTTACTCCAGTCTTCAGTGTCACATGATCCTTCAGAAATCATGAAAATATGCTGATTTGATGCTGAAGAAACATTTCTTATTATTATCAATGTTGAAAACAGTTCTGCTGCTTCATGTTTTTGTGGAAACCAACATTTTTCAGGATGCACTGATGAATACAAAGTTCAAAAGAAAAGCATTTATTTGAGAAAAATAATTTTTAATGTCACTTGATCAATTTAATGCATATTTTCTAAATAAAATGGTTTCGAAATTAACATTTGTTTGTTTGCTTGCAAAACTAGAATGAAATGAGACATTTTAATGGACTATGCATTATGCCTCTGGAACCAATGTTCTGTATCTGACTAAAAAGAAATCTCCCAAATATCTCTGCTTTCACTCTCTGCAGTTTACTCTCCAGACAGCAGAGATGAAGAGCATAAACCCAGTGAAGATGTTGGCGGCGTTTGCTCTGGTTTTTCTGGTGTCCAGTGTGACTGAGGGACGGATTATCAGTAAATGTGAGCTGAAGGAGAAGCTGGAGGTGGCTCAGATTCAGGTGATTCGGGCCATGGGAGACAAAATGACCGCGAACGATCTCAACGCTAGACGTGAGTAACAGATTCCTTTCGCTCACCACTATATTTGTGACCCTGGAGCACAAAACCAGTCTTAAAGGGGTCATAGGATGCCCATTTTCCACAAGTTAATATGATTCTTTAGGGTCTTAATGAAAAGTCTGTAACATAGTTTGGTTAAAATTTCTCAATGGTAGTGTAAAAAACACCTTTTTTACACCTTTTAAAAACAGATCAGATCAAGCCGTTTTTGTAGCATTTCCCTTTAAATGTTAATGAGCTCTGCTACTCAGGGCGGAGCTAAGGTAAGACGCCAGTCCAGTCTGTGCTGAAACGCTACTGTCAATCAAACTGTCGTGGGAGGGGCCTGTCTGTGTGATGTCACACAGACAGGCATCTGAGATCGGCTTGATTTGAGAAAGGGGTAAAGATTTAACGAGATAAAAAAAAACACTGGGTGGATTTTTATCATTATAGGGTGGTTGTGTACACACACTGCCAACACACATTTCAGTTCAAACTACTTGTAAAAGTGCATGTGGGTATATTTGTAGCAATAGCCAAAAATACATTGTATGGGTCAAAATTATCCATTTTTCTTTTATGCCAAAAATCATTAGGATATTAAGTAAAGATCATGCTCCAAGATATTTTGTAAATTTTCTACCATAACTATATCAAAACTTAATTTTTGATTAGTAATATGTATCGCTAAGAACTTCATTTGGACAACTTTAAAGGCGATTTTCTCAATATTTAGATTTTTTTGCACCCTCAGATTCCAGATAGTTGTATCTCGGCCAAATATTGTCCTATCCTAACAAATCATACATCAATGGAAAGCTTATTTTTTAAATCCGACCCTTATGACTGGTTTTGTGGTCCAGGGTCACATTTATGTCACATAATGTGCAGATGACAGGTCAATCACTCTCACATGCATTTTCCTTTCGTTCTGATGCAGTTGCCTGCTTGGCCGGTGCTACAGGCTTCAACACCAGCTTTGTCAAAACCGTCCCCGCCAAACCTAAAGAGCTCTTAAATAACCACTCTATAAAGGCAAATGCAAAGCGGCGTCCCGTCTGGCACCTGTATGGTGTGTTTCAGCTCAGTGATCAGCTGGCCTGTGATTCTGGCATGAACCCATCTCTCAATGTCTGCAACACGAGCTGCACTGGTGAGTTCGATGGGAAAACGCCATAATAATCATAACTGTGTTTTCAGAATTTCTGCGCCATATTCCTATTGCTTTCAACATAAGCCATCTGAATAAGGTTTTGCATTTTTTCTCTTTTCTCAAAAGCTTTTAATGACGATGATGTATCAGATGACATCGCCTGCCTGAATGCCATTATTAGCAGCATGTAAGTGCACAGACTACAGACATTGCTTACTGAATTATCTAGATGTAATTTCATAGTTACTGGATGGCATTAGAGCCAGTTTTCAAAGTCATTAAAATAAAGCAAACCTTTTTATGTTTTCTTTTTTTTTAACAGCTGAGGGAATTACATTTCCTTTTTATGTAAAGTCATAGTAATGCTATAATTTTCCTTTTGCTACTGAAGCTAACTGAAATGTAAAAATGTTGGTGTCCATTCAGCATTATATAAGTTTACCCAACTATGATGACTTACACTTATGAGAATCCTGAAACCGTAAAAAGGGTTTCATTACATTCATAACGTGATGTTTTTTTTTCTCTTCACAGTAAACCTAGACCCAAAAACATCACCTCTCTTCCACTTGTAACGTAAGCTGAAAACAATCAATTTATGATTGTTTATAATTTCATATATGCAAAAAGCACCTGCATGCAATTGCAGCAAAAACCAGATGTAGTGTTTTGTCACAACAGTGTGCAGGGTTCATATTCTACATTTACATTTATGCATTTTATCAGTTCTTGCTTTCTCTGGGTATCGAACCCATGAACGTTGTGCAATGCTCTACTGTTATAATTTAGCAAATCATGTAAACTCATTAATACTCATAAAATGTAATAAAATATGAAACTTAAGTTAGGGACAAATAATATTTCACTTTGCACATTTATTAATATACTTGTCTACCTCAAATACAACTGCATTAAAGGTTTAAGAAGCAAAATCAGGCCTGAATGTTTAAAGTGTGACTTTCTTTTTTGTGTTACAGATTAAACACCATTTTGATGAAGGAGTGTCACTCTGTGGTTCCCTCTCTGTATTTTGCTGAGTGTCCGAGTGCAACAACACCAATGAGTGAAACAACACAGTGATTTTATTCTTCTGACCTGCTCTAATACTGTAGATTTGTACTAGTCAACTACAGAATAATTATGACTACCTAACTAACAATACTAGTAGATCAGCTGCATACAGTCACTTTAAAAACACAACAGTCTGATGTTTCCACAGCAACTGCCTTTGAGTGAATGGTAATGAGGTTGTTATGATGGTGGTGGGATCTGTGCATGTTTAAACATATAAAGACTTTGAATAGAAGGCGCTTGTGCATTAATAAACTTTATATTATTCCTGTAATATTGCAGATGTTTGGTGGCATTTTACATTTCTGGCTACAATTATAATAAAGCAGTCTCTGTTCCTTGAATCTCACTGTGTCGGTGTTGAGTGCGTTCATAATACTTTACCTTATTATGAATAAATTAACTCTTCCATTAGGACTCCACCTTCATTTGAAATTTTTTTAAGAAACTGCTCAAAACATATTTTTAGTGAAGTTTTTAATATTTAAAAACTTAATATTGTTATTATGTATAATGTATTATCTATTGTTTTGCTTGTTTTTTTTTGTAATGTGTTGTAGTGTTTTGAGTGTAACAAAAGTGCATTAAAAATCAAATGTATTCTTATTATTAGTCATTAAAAATCAGTTTACAGTCAGTAGATTATGAACATTAAATATAAATAGAAAATATATTAATCAAACATTCACGACATTCGGAATGGCCTGTTAAACATGTGACAATGTATTGTTATTAAAATTGTTCTAAAGTATTGTCTTATAACTTCTAGGAAGAGCATAAACTACCTCACAATTATAACTTAAGTATGTATCCACCTTATTTTTCCCGCAAGAGCAGGCCATTTGTAATTTTAATGTGTCTGGCTTCCGGTCTCATCCACTTCCAGCTATTTTTAGCTGTACAGAACAGCTCATTTTTGCTGCTTGATATTACAAACTGTTACTTAACGTATTATCTTAATTATGAACACACTGGTTTGTAATGCAAACAGTTTTACTGTTTATTGCACTTCGGTATTCTTATTATTATTTTCCCTACAGTGGCTAATGAACCAGAAGTCTCGCACATTAGCAGAAAACAGCTTACTTCCGCACTGAAAAATAAACAAGACGGCTTTGCTCATGAAAATTAATTATCTAACGCGACGCTTAACCAGAATGCCTCAGCCTACTATTGGCTAAAATGAATATGTTGCGAATAAAGAAACCCTTTTATAAGAAGGGCCTTGTTTATTTGTTCATAAATAGAAAACAAGCTGCTTGAGTTTACTGGAAAATGACCTAAAAAAGTCTTAAATTAAAACTAATATTCATATGTGCAATTTCATAATTGACGCAATACAGGACAAGATTCGGTTCAAAAACAGATGGAGCGCAAAGAATTAAAGAGAACAGGGGGTCTCGAGATGTAGTTTGAAGTATGTTTTGTGCTAAAAGTGACTTATACTGTGTTATTTATATGTGCAATTATGTGGCTTACTTTGAAGCTGACAAGGACCACACAATAACACTCCTGAGGATGTCGACTCCGGGCCAGTTCCCTTTCGAACGGTCTCTCCCATTGCGTGAGACGCTAAGGGAAAACTCCTGTTTTACTCTGCACTGAAGACTGATTTGTTCACATTTGTGTAGCTGCACAAACCAATGGCACTTTAGCCCACCAAAAAGGGCGGAGCCGACCTTTACAGAAGTCGGCTCAGAGCGCCATTTATCAGATCATAATCCTTCAGCGACGGGGATCATCTCTTCGCTGACTCTGGAAGAAGCCGAGATGAAGAAGAAGTCGAGGAAGAAGAAGCTCCAGCTCTGCTCACCGCCGTCGAAGACGCCCAAGCAGCGAGGATTCCCTGCGGCCATCCGGCGCGTGAAGAGCAAGCCAGAGAGCGAATTTTCTAAAGAAACCGCGAGTGTGGATCATGCAAGGATCCCTGAGGCTGAGTTCTCACTGAAGGCTCACTGAAGGCTCATGCTCCCATTACGAGAGTATGAGTCTTTCCCGTCTCTGCTCGTGGATTGCCTTTTTTCACAAAGGCGGTCCCCCTCGCTCAGCTCTCCCGTTTCCTTTCTCTCCTAAGAGAAAGAAACAGCGGAGCAGTGGGTCCTTCTCAGCGGGTTCGAGCAGTGTCACGTCGGCTCAGCGCCCGCGTGCCCCGCCCTCCCCGTGTCCTCTCGTCTCACCGGTGTTTTTCACACAAAAAGACCAGCGTCCCTCTTCGGCTGTGAGTGACTTGGTCTCTTTTGGCGCATCTGAAGAGGACGTCATCATAGAGGACGTTATCACTGACGACTCCATGTGCTTGGCAGCGTCTGATGCAGAAGAGTGGGGAGGTTTCGGTGGAGAGCCCGAAGTCCTTCCCCCTTCTCAAAGTCTGAGGCCGAAACCGGACGCCGAGCTCATCCGCGTCCTGTTGAAGGCGGTAGAGGATCTGGGCCTCGAGTGGTCAGCTCCGGAAGAGCCCGCCCACAGCCTGTTAGACGAGTGGAACCTGCTGGGAAGCTGTCAACAGTCCTCTCGCCAACGCTCCGCCCCGTTCTTGCCCGCAGTTCATGACGAGCTCACCAAGACGTGGTGCGCCCCCTACTCAGCCCGAGTAAATCCCTCTACAGCAGCGGCTCTCACCACCGTTGACGACGCTGACGACAAGGGATACAGCAAGCTCCCCCTCTGGAGGAAGCAGTTGCTGCTCATCTGTGCCCGCCATCTGCCCTTGGATTAAAGGCCCATGCAGCGCATCCCTCTAAACCCTGCAGGACCACCTCGGCGCTCGCCAATAGGGCTTATGTAGCGGCTGGCCAGGCTGGGTCGGCGTTGCATACAATGGCGGTTCTCCAAGTGTTTCAAGCCAAGCTTCTTCGCAGTATGGAAGAGTCTGGCCAAGAACACCAAGAGGCTTTCAAAGAGCTGCGCACAGCAACAGACCTGACTCTGCACGCCATGAAAGCAACGGCGCAGGTGACCGGCAAGACCATGGCCAGTTTGGTGGTGCTGGAGCGCCACCTCTGGTTAAACCTCACTGAGATCAGGGACACTGAGAAGATGGCTTTCCTCGACTCACCGGTCTCGCCAAAGGGCCTGTTCGGCCCCGCTGTGGACGGGTTTGCAGAAAGTTTTTCGGAGGCTCAGAGGACGTCGCAGGTGCTCCGTCACTTCCTCCCCAAGCGCCCTGGCCCCGCAGCTGCGGGCCGTCAGAAGAATCCCGTCACTCAGCCTGCCTCAGCCTCAACGGAAATCTAAGCCTGGGCTGCAGCAGCGCCCCTGGATGGCGAAACGCTTCCCCTTTCCGAAGCGTCAAGGTCCCCAACCCACGAGTTTTGCTGGACCCTGAGCCACCTAAGCCGTCCTGATGCACTAGAGAGGAAGAGGAGGGGCTCTTTTCTCGCCTCGGCTGGAACGCCCTGCAACACAGCTCGTTTTCATCCTCCATCCCAGTTTCGTTTCCAGCGGGTCACGTCCTGCAGGTGCAGCGCGTACCCGAATGTTTTGCCGCTGCGATAGAGGACCCACAAACAATAAAGAGCAAATTTCCTCTTCACACTCACGCGAATGCAAGTTCCCCGCCTTCTCTCGGCGAGCTCTCATTTGCAAAAATAAACCCACTCGCCTCCCGTTTCACGACTTGAGCAGCCATTCCGGGAGTGTCGAGTTGGGTTTTCAAAACAATTCAGTGAGCAATGAAAACAATGAAGCATTACTCGCTTCAGTTTGCTTGCAGGCCACCTCGCTTCAGAGGCGTTATTCAAACTTCTGTTCCGGACAACGAAGCACTCTCCTGCTTCTGTTCTCCGACAAGAAGTGCAGACATTGCTTGCAAAAGGCGCTGTGGAAATAGTGCCCCCAGCGAACAGCGAGTCAGGCTTTTCAGCCGCTACTTCCTCGTTCCAAAGAGATATGGCGGGCTCAGACCCATTCTGGATCTCAGACGTCTGAACCCTTCGCTTATGCACCGGTCGTTCAAGATGTTAACTATCAAACAGATCCTCTCGCACATTTGCCCCGAGGACTGGTTTTTGACAGTGGATCTGAAAGATGCATACTTTCACGTCCACATAGCCCCCCATCACAGACCGTTCTTGAGATTCGCGTTCAAGGGAGTGGCCTATCAATAACTGTCCTTCCGTTTGGACTGTCTCTAGCTCTTTCCCCTCTGAGACAGAATTTTGAACTACCTTGACGATTGGCTGGTTCTAGCCAGGTCAGAACGGGAGTTGGCTGCTCACAGAGAGCTGTTACTCAGCCACTTAGAGTGCCTTGGGTTGATCATCAACCCGCACAAGAGTCAGCTGTTGCCGAGACAGCAAGCTGTCTTTTTGGGAACAATTTTAGACTCCGGCCAAATGCGGGCATGGATTACGCCGGAACGATCCCTGACTATTCAGCGATTGGCGGCGTCTCTCAAACCAGGGACAACACGCCCCCTGAAGGTTTTTCAGAGGTTGCTCTGCCTTATGGCGGCCGCCGCCTCTGTAATTCCTCTGGGCCTACTTCACATGCGGCCCCTTCAGTTTTGGCTCAAAGCCCGCATTCCACCTCATGCCTGGTGCCTGGGACGGCTTCCTGTCAGGGTAGACCACGCTAAATCAAGGCTGTGGCCCCCTGGATGACCTCTCGCCTGTTCCAAACAGAAACGAGTTTAGGAATGGCCTCCAGAAGGAAGGTAGTCACAACGGACGCGTCCAACTCGGGTTGGGGCGCCCTGTTGGAGGGCAATGCGGCGTTCAGCTCCTGGTTTACCCCCGGAGCAATGCCTGCATATAAACTGCCTAGAGATGTTGGCGGTTTTCTTAGCCCTGAAAACCTTCCTTCCCGCCTTAAAAGGGCACCACGTCTTGGTCCGGTCGGACAGGCCTGGTTCCCAGAGTTAGTGCAGCTCTCAGCAGCAGCCCCATGGCCCATTCCGCTGAGGGGGAACCTTCTCTCGCAGGCAAAAGGCATGATTTGGCATCCCCGGCCGGAGCTGTGGAACCTTCATGTATGGTGCCTCGACGAGAGCTTAATCAGCTCCCAGCAAGAGTAAGCAATACCATTTTGGAGGCAAGGGCGCCGTCTAAAAGACGACTTTACAGCCTAAAATGGTTGGTTTTCCTTAACTGGTGTTCTGCACGAAGTTTGGACCCAATATCATGTGACGTGTCCCATGTGCTAACCTTTGTGCAAGAGCTGCTGGATAAGGGGCGTGCTCTCTACCTAGAGCGCTCTAGCCTGTTAGCCTGACAGTCAGAGCAGCTTTTTGTTTGCTTTGGAGGCTGCCATAAAGGACTGCCGGCCACAAAGCAGCGACTTTATCACTGGATCGTTGATGCGATAGTCTTGGCTTACGCCTCAGAAAGCTTGTAGTGCCCTACAGGTATGAGGGTCCATTCCACAAGAGGGTGGTCCAGCAGAATTTCTATTGATGAGACCTGTGCGGCCGCCAGCTGGTTGTCACCGTCCACATTTGCCAGATTCTATAACTTAGACGTCCCGCTTTACAGGCGCGAGTTCTTTCAGTTTAATGTACCACTCTTCCCCCTTGGGCGAAGCTGGTTATATTAGTGCTTCTCAGCTACTAGCTTTGGGCACAATGTGCTCATGTTCTCAGGGGTCCTTATTAGTGCTCCGAGACTGGACTCGCACAGCAGGATGTCCTGTATCTGCTCATAGCGCGGCGTGATTGGATGCATTCCCCTTAGCGTCTCACGTAACGGGAGAGACCGTTCGAAAGGGAACGCTCCAGTTACTGACGTAACCTTGGTTCCCTGAGATAAGGGAATGAGCGTTGCATCACTTGCCGCGCTATAAGCTGCACGCGAATCGATGACTGTCACTTCAGTCGAATGATCTGATGAAGCCGACTTATATAAGGGTCGGCTCCGCCCTTTCTGGCGGGCTAAAGCGCCATTGGTTTGTGCAGCTACACAAATGTGAACAAATCAGGCTTCAGTACAGCGTAAAACACTAAGCCTCACCTGTTCCTCTGAGGGGCATCTTTGTGTTGATGACTTGTGTGGAATGAAACAGTTTGAGGTTGTTGTATGTCAGTATGTAGGTGGTTTTATGCCACTTCATGTTTAGTACGAAATGTTGTGGTTTGGTTTCTGGGTGACAGAGCAGGTTCGATAAACAGAGTAAAATACACTAATGGTTTTGCAGAACACATCAAAAGAGGTGTCTTTGTCTCAGTGGGGATCGGATGTCATGTACAGGTTATGTGGCACCTCTAAACTACAAGAAGAAAGATCTGAACCAGATTAGAGATGCATGACAATACATGTTATATAATAATAAATAATAATAATAAAATCTAATTGGTTTTCATATGGTCAAAGAGTTTCCAGTTTCTTATTATGTGTTGACGTGCAGTGGTTTCAAGTATTCTTCACAAGTACAGCTCATCCATTTTTTTAATTATACAGCCAAAACTATATTTTAGTATCTTTATTTTTTTATTTTTTTATTTTTTTAAATGCTATTATCTCTATAACTGTGGTTGAGTATATTTTATTCTAATCTTGTAATGAGTCAGTAATACTTAGATAAGTAAAAAAATAAAAATAAAAACATGACAATAATGTAATGTTAAATCATATTTTTCACAGTTTAAATCCTCCTTACTAAATTACAAATAATCCAAATTAACATGGCTTTATTACTTACTTTTGTTTCCGATCACACAGAAAAAATTATGCTTATGTTAAGTATTTTTGTTTTGTTTTGATTGTAACACACGGTATTCATTGTTTTTTCTTATGATTTTTTCTTAATTTTTTACTTAATCCGGATTAGCTAAATAATTGTTTGTAACCAATATGACGTCATAAGGTTGCAAAACCCGTTCCGGTCCTGAATACAAAACGGCATGGTTTTGGTTTTGATTGTGAATTATATACGTTTCATAGTCAGGTAATCAAAAATGCACTGCATTGCATTGTTTTAAATGGGCAAAAACAGAGAAGGTCCACCCTGAAAACCGATCCTTCCAA